GGTGAAAGGTGATAGGAATATTTGCCAACCCTGAAACTGATCAGTTAATCTATATAGTACTAGTCATTTAGTGCAATGTAACTTTCACAAACAGTGTGTCAGTGTGTCAGTGTGTCTGTTTCTGTATGTTTCTTTTAGTTTTCTGTATTGCTTAAAAAGGAAAATAATTGTGATTTAAAGATTTCAGCTTTGCAGCAAGACATATCAGTCAAATTCCTGTTGAATTATACAACTCTAAGCTTAAAGGTGTATCTGATCAAATAAATGTTGCGGTTATAGGCAAAATGATTAAATATTGTCTGGTACTATTATTAAGCCTTCCTGCTTCTCAATCAAATGACCTTCACCCATGTTACTGTGGCTCCACTTGTCACTCCCCCTTGTGTTGTTGAGAAGAAAATAAGTTGTATATTTAGTTTAGGGAAGACTGAGAGAGTGGATCAAATCAAATCATAGTATCATCTTTCTGTGCGGGCCAACACTGGAGGTTACCCGGAGCACTGTTTTTGAAGGTCAAACGGCGCGAGCTGCAGACAAGGCAGAGGAAGCGCAGCTGGTCGTCCGCGGCAACGTGGGGAGAGGGAAGGGGCTGCTGTGGAGGTGTGAGGAGGAAGCAGGATCTTGTCAGAGCGGTTCTATTTTTACCACTGTCACACCCAGTACACCATTGCTCACGAGCAGAGTCTACTGTTTCCACAGCAACCGCCTCCTGTGTCTCCCTGACAACCAGCACCCCCCCACCCCCCCAAAGGCAACCCCATCCCTAACCCCCCAGTCGATGCACAGTGATTATTACAGCGTGGCTGGAGATACAGGGGAATGAGGCGAGACAAAAAGGTCAAAGATCCTCTGTTTCTAATGAAATACTTCGACCTCATTACAGAGCTGGATGTCTGAGGGCCTCACATTTACATGCATACAAACCAAATGCCATCAGTTTTATTAATACAAGAATATTCAAGGACTTAACTAACCTTAATTAATATTTAACAACAAAAAATAAACAAGACTAAACATCCAGTTGAGGAATCTAGGTCACTATAAGCATTTTGTACTTTTGAAAGCCAATAACTTGCATTTAATGAGCAGATTATGTTCGACAATTTCTGCATGTACTAACAACGATGATATTCTAAACAAAGATATTTCAGCAAACACCAAAGACAAAAGAAGTGCTTAAATGAGGTAAACTGGTAATTTTTCTGTCATGTACTGCATTTGTTATAATAAATCTATGTATACAATTGCCTTCACAAATCATTAAAAGGGGAGTAACGATATTCAAATCTCACGATACGATATTGTCATGGTATGAACCTCACAGTATGATATTTATTGCAGTATTGTGGGAAAACTCACAATATGGTTGGGAGGCTCACGATATTACGATATATACATAATAACAAGACTGACATTATAAAATGCTTTGACCAGTCATTTATTGTCACATTTAGGAATGTAACAATATCCAAATCTCATGGAACAATATTATCAGGATATGCATCTCACAGTACAATATTTATTGCGATATTTTGAAATTAAAAATGGATCACTTCATCTTCTGAAATGAATCATGGGATGTGTAGCTCTCTATGTTTATAAGATGTTGCCACTATAAAACAATGCATTTAAGCAAAGGAACTTGTGATTCGATATATTGTGACAGTCCACGATATTATTGTGAGAACTCTGATGACATGATATCACGATATTTCGGTTATTGTTACATCCTTAATCAATAACTGCAATTGCACCCCTGCATTACAATGTTTTTTCTTTCTTTCATATAATAGAAAATTATAAAACTTCAAGTGATGTGCAGCAAAGTCTAGGTATGTTTTTGATAAGATAACAACATTCTAACATGTCTTATAGCTCACTTAATATAGGCCCTTTACATTCACAGCATACCTATAGGAAATATCTTGTTGTGCCTTATCAGAATAAAATGGTTAGACAGGGGTAAGAGAGCAGAGGAGGATACAAACAGGATAAAGATATAAAGAAGACAAATGAAGGTCAAATCATAAGACAGATGACGAGCAGGGGTAATGGAGATGCACAGCAGGTATAAAGTTTAAAAAGGAAATAATGAGATACTTTTAGACACAACTGGCAGAATGTGGAAAGGCCAAAAGGTGAAACTCAAGCACAAAACAAACTCATTTTATACGAAAATGTAAAGTGCAAAGTTCAGCAGTATAATTTCTATAGTACTTTAGAATAATGGTTTCTAGTCTTGCAGGTAGCTAAAGCAGCAATAAACAAATATGAAGCAAAGCAACATATCCATGGTAAGTAGAAAGGTTACACAGTGCATTTTTAACAAGCAATGAATATTAAAGCTAATTTGGATCACTTCAGGGATATTGTTTACACTGTCATCTTTATATAATGCCTTTACTTCAGCTTTCTCTTTCTTTACACAGACACGTAGGTCACATATTGTAATACATATCCATATAAGGCAAACAGGCAGGTAATAAGGCCAAAGGATGTGCTGTTATCTCTAGCAGAGGAGACATATGAACTTCCTACAGACATAATCAGATTGAAGCCAGTCCAACATAGCCCATCATAACTCATGCTGGGAATGAAAATGGGAACTTCTGTTGTGCTATTGATATTAAAGGGATATTCTCACACTCACAATAGTGTCACAATAACAATTCGTCGTGTGGTGTGAAATAGAGATTCTCTGGAACAACTCCTCCTGAACACATGTTGCTACCAAAACAAAGTGACTCATAAATTTGAAAAGGATTTGAGATCCTATCCCAACAACAGTTAGCCAGGCTAGCACCACCTAGTGCCTCCACTCAATTTAATTTCTCTCCAGCAACTAGGTCAAGAATCAGAATACACTAGACAGTTCGCAAAAACCTTGGAAGTGCGAGTTCGAGCGCCAGCCAATCAGTGAAGAACCATACATTCTGTGTTGGCAACGAGGATTTAAAGTTGTAACAAAGTGAGTGTTCAGTGAATTTTATCAAGGGGAAAGACGTTATTGTCCTTCTTCCTATGAGATTTGGGAAAAGCTTAATATACCAGTTAGCCCCATTAGTCATGCATTACATACGTCATGACCAAATAGCAGCGATTGGTTAAATGAAAAACAAATACCTGCCTACAGTCGAGCGAACAAATCCTAATGCTGTGAGGTCAAATGGTTTCCACGAAGTCAAACCGGCTAAACAACAGTGGTGTAACCTGACAAAAGTGTTGCATTGCATATTATTTTATTTTTCTGAATTATTCACGAGAGTCTGAGAAAATTGTTTAGTTGTGTATAGAAATGTAGGTAACGCTTTAATTTAAGGTCCACATATTAATAGCCAACTAAGTGGTAATTGGTATGCTAATTAGCTGTTACTTAGCTTTTAGTTGGTATTAATCAAACACTTATTAATGCTTATTAAGATTTCAGTATATGCACAAAAACATCTATTGTGATCTCCTCTACTTTAATGGGTGGAAAATAGGTAATGGGTTAGTACACACAAAAAACGGCCATAGACAAAAATGCATAGAAAGTACTTTATAAATACTAACAAAGATGTAATTAAGCACTTATTATGCATTTTACTATTAACTAGGTATTAATATGTGGTCCCTAATCTAAAGTGTTACCATATTTACTGATTGTATTTACTTATTATGGTTATTATTTTCTTGATTCATAATTTTCCATATTCTTGTATGTAATTATTATTTTATTACTATTTTATGTAATTTTATGTTTTCTAGCACAATTGAGCTTCTGTGTTCAAGCTATAGTCTAATCTTATGCCTTTACTTCCCTTGTAGTGTGGCTGACGCATGTTTAATCAAAGACATTTCACCAGAATATGATGATGATGATGATGATGATGAGATGTAGTCCTTTTAAAAAGATGCAAAGACACATATAGACTGTACTCACCTGTTGTTGTTGATCACATTATTGTTGGCAGCAGAGGGAGAAAGCAGGGAAGGGAGAGAAAGAAGGAAATGTTCAGTCACTTCTGCCTCGCTGAAATAAAGTTACAAACAGTTCATTAGAAATCACATCCTAAAAATCTAACTGGATCATTACAATAGAATAGTCAAATGCTCATTACTGTAATTCTAATATAATTCATGAATTGCTATGTTAAGTGGGCCAGTATGCAAGCTTAAAAAAACAGGATTAAACATAGCTGAAGTAGTCGAAAAGAAAGCTGTAGTTTTAGAAAGGCATTTTAGTCAGCACAAAAACTCAAGAATCATTGAATAATAATTGAAGATATTTGGGAATAGTGGTAATAAAGTAAATTAGACTACTACTACGACAAGGGTGAAGTTGATTGCGTCATCCCCAGTTCATGAATGGGAACTGTTCTTGATATTTGCAGCTATAAATTGCGCCACTATTGGTTTGCATCAGAAAGTAGGAAAACCCATTATCAAGAAGAACTGATAAATTTAGAAATAAGCACAAATATAACTATTAAACATTGTTTTTAATCATGAAATTACACTTTCAGCAAACCATTTGGATTTATTGGTAACTGAGAAATAGTAAATTATCTATGTAGTCCTATTATTGGGTACAAAAAAAAAACAATAACCATGAGTATTTAATTCATATAGGGAGGAAACAAAGAGAAAGGGGTAGAGCTATCAAAACAGCAAACCAGTTAAGAGCAATTACATAGAGACAAGCTGAGACATATATCTAGACGCAAAGGATTGTTTTTGAATGTGGGACTTTAACGATTTATGACCAATATACGATGTAAAACCATTACTTTGTGTCTAGATATGTGTTTTTCGTAAACCGTGGTGTATAAAATAGCATCACGCTGTTTCATGATGATTACAAACACACAACAGATCCAACACCAAGCAAGCCTGGTGCTCGATCAGCAGAAATAAGCCATGCAAACAGGAAGACAATACAATACTAGTTACTTCCTGCTATCTTAACTGACATAATTAGCCTGATTTTGTACTGGGATTCTTCTTTGCAGTTCACCAACCTTCCAGTGGGGGGAGCAGTGGCGACGAGGACTCCTGGTGCGCAGAGGGTGCAGGGTGAGAGGGAGGGGCTGCAGGAGTGAAGGAGGGAGGGGCAGTGGTGGCTGGGCTAAAGGATGGGGTAACACTGGTGGCGACAGGAGCAGGGGCAAAAGCAGCACTGGTGACAGGTGCTACGGTAGCAGGTGCCCCGACGGGTGTAACGGTAGAGGACAGGAGAGCAGCTGAAGGGACAAAGGGCTTAGCGTCAACATTGAGGCCAGATCCAATGGTAGTGGTACTAGGAGTGGTGAAGACAGCAGACTGCGGGACACTGGTTGTTTCTGGGGGAGTTGTCTTGGCGAGGGGGGCAGTCGCGAGCGCCGGGGTGGTGGTCATTGGGGTGGTGGTCTGCGAATCGGGGGTTGAACCAGGAGGGGTCTGGAGCACTGAATCCAGGAATGAGAAAGTCTGGGAAACCGGGCTCAAGTTTTCTCCAGTCATTAAAGCTAAACTACTATTAACATCCCCACTTAGACCAGCTTTGTTAGTGTTGTTAGCTGCTGTGCTGACATTAGCTATGGGTTTACTGTCTTCTTTGTCTATGCACATTGGTTCATAAGAGCGTGGAGAGGCGTCTGTGGCAGTGTGGGAATGGTTGAAGCTTGTGGGTATTGGTGAAGGGGCTGTGGGCTGTTCTGGGTTAGGACTAGACTTAGAAAGAGGATCAGCCCACGAAGGAGCCACAGTTGCAGGTGTAGGGGAGACCGGCTGCTGAGGCGCACCCCACTCCTCCGGTAGTCTGGCCCGAGTTTTGGTCTTCCTGCCCCTCACCCGCCCCCCACCTCCGCTCTCTCTGATCTCCCACTCCCAGTTTTCCTCGTCGTCTTCATCTTCCTCCGCCTCCCCTGTGTCCTCTTTGTTTTCCTGTCTGTCCAGGAAGTCGTACACCTCGTCACGCCCCTTCTTCTTCTTCTTCCTGCGTCTCTGCTTGCCCAGCTCGCCCCCCGGCCCGGACCGCTCGGGGCTCATGGGCTCGGAGGTTGACGATGTGGCGCTGCTGTCATCCAAAGAGCCACTGGGAGAGAGGACAGGAGCTGCCGAGGGGAGGGTTTTATAAGAGGGGGAACCAATCACATACTCACGCAAAATCACCTGGTTACCAAACTACTACCTGTGTGATTTTGATTTCACTAAGATTCGTGGTATACTGACATTAACATCATAAATATGGTTTTAATACCAAATATATTAAGTATATCATTGCTTTATGTATAATTTTTTAAATAACAGGGGGACCCAATCACATCACATACTCAGAATCACTGGTTACCAAACTTTTATGTGATTTAGATTTCTCTAAGATTTCTGTTCTTGGTACAATGACATGGCATTAAAATGTTAAATGTGGTTTTAAAGCTTCATCTGGAATGTTCTACATGTCATTAAACTAAAATCTTGCACTTATTCAATAGCAGTTATATAATGCATCTTTAAGTTTTGTTTTATTGCTACCTGTGTCTAATTATGTGTTAAAGAAAGTCAAAGTAGCAGCATATATTTATCTGTGAGAAAAAGACAACTAAGTGTTTTGCATCTAATTGTGGACATGTAACTGAAGCTGTAATTACTACAGCAGACAGCTTAGCCTCCTGATGACTATATGCATAATTAAACCTTAATGAATATTCTTCACCAAACCTGTGTAGGAAACAAACTCAATTACTCAAGAGAACTTTTCCAAGGACGCTGCAAAGTTACCAGTGTTTGTAAAGAGGCTGTCTTGTAAGAATGAAATTATATTCAGATACTTCATAACTGTGCATTAGAGTAACCGTGGTCTGATTGCTTGTAGGCAACTGACGCAATAAATAAAAGTATGTGATGGTCAGTACTTTTATAAATACACCAATGTTCTCTAGAAAGTAATTACGAGGAGAATAAACCTGCAATTCTATTAGTGGATCCAGTAAGGAAGAGAAAAACAAACTATTTTAAACTAGGCTGAGACTCCTCAATTAATCATGGTAATATGGTAACCCTTTATAGTACACAGGTGTGTGAACGGATTTGGAGACATCTTTAATCACATTCAAATATCAGGGGCAGATCTTATTTTTAGAAAGCAGGCATGAAAAGAAAAACATAACACACCAAATGAAATGTGTGATTCCACACTAGTGCATGCAGTTTGCAGAGCCATACACAACAAAATATACTTAACAAAATAAAATACTGCATTTACATCGAGTAGATCAAATTGTGCACATGGAAACAAGCTAAAAACAACAGAAGAGACAAAGCATGCTTGGATGCACCCACAAGAATTCCCTACAATATAATGCTCCCTATGACACCTTGTCAATCACATTCATAAATTACCTTGCATTTTATTGTAAATTTAACACAATGTTTGCATGTATTAATTGAGGCTGATATTTTCTCCAAGGCCCTCTCTGTTATAAAGGCTCCAGGAAGTCTTTATCTATATTTGATGTAATGAGGTATTAATGGGAGTATATCTTAATCTGGGACCGGAGCACTGCCAAGAGGAACATTACTGCAGCAGCACGGCTATTTTAAACACATCTTATGCAACAGTATTTTGAGAGAGTGTTTCTTCAAATTCATGAAGAGAGCACATTGTTATCTAATCCAAACTTGTTGTAAATGACTGTTTGAAAACATCAGAGCAATATTAACTTATATATCACTCTGTCCCCATCTAGTGGCAGACTACAGAAAGAAAATAGACAATCTTTGAAATACTGAATCTTTAAAGTTTTAAGATATCATAATAGCATTTAGCTGAGCAGTATTTGTTATGTAACTGTATGGACGAGGCAGTTTACAGAACACATAGAAGTAAATATTCTTAAATATTATAATTTTGCGTACTTTTCTTTCTCACTATGAAGATAAAATGTTAGTGTGAATATATGAAATGTAATATAAAGATCAATAAAACGTAAAGCACATACTTTCATTGACCAAGCAAAAATTAGTAACCTAGAGAGACAAGAAGCACAGTAGAAGCTGCACTGAAGCATTACATCTAAGGAAAAGACTGCCCTCTGCTGTTCAAAACGGTCAGGTATCTGCCAATATTTTATTTTATAAATGTGTTCTTTTCATAGCAATTGCAATATGCAGCTATTTGATATAAGAAGAGTATACTAGACGGAAACATTTTTGTTAGTTTCAAAATATAATAGTGAGCTCAAAAAATGAGAATCACAGTAGAAGCTGCAGAGAAGCTTTAGCAGAATTAGATCTATAAAAAGTAGTGCCCTCTGCTGTTCAAATGAGCAAAGTACATATTTTACATATTAAGTACATATTTCACATTACATATTTTTTATTTTTTCAGCATTTTTACCAATTGCAATCTTTGGCAAGATGCTCTAAGGACCATATACATAAATGTTTGTTATTTATGAAAATCTAGCTTTCTTCTGTCAATACTAGAGAGTTTAATTTACCTCTCATTCTTAACATCAGCTACTTGATAATTCACTGATGTTTATTACATTTTTATTCTCCTGATTAACAACCATCTTGTTTTGACTGCGCCCTCCCAACTGCCCATAAAAAACACATGCATCATAAGAAGTCACTGTTACCTGTGGTGTGGTCTGTGGACGGCATCCCGATCCCGCCCGTGGAGAGGGGCTCGCTGGGTTTGAACAGGCCTCCTCCTGAGCTGTTGGTGTTGGTGGGAGCTTTGGGGTCTGAACCGAAAAGTCCGGGTGATTTCTGAGGCTCTAGATTTGAGGAACCCAAAGCGGACTGTCCCATTGTTGTCTGGAAAGGAGGCAGTCCAGTACCACCCAGGCCAGACTGTGAAAAGCCTACAAAACAACAACAAAAAAAAGACCTTATACTATATACTTACACCAATAGAAATTTCAATTTGTTGTATATTAATCTTAACCTAGATCTAGCTCTTCTTTTCTTCAAGATTATTTAACTTTGCTTATAATGTTTAACAGTATGATATTAAAGTTATCTTGTATGTATTCAAATAGGGCTGGGCAATTAATTGAAAGATCAAGAGATATGTTTGGGGGTTTTGAATTGAGAGGACTTTTTGTGTTAAATGGCACAGAAGTCTGTACTGTTAGCCATTTTGATTTTTTTTAATTAAAAAAACTATAGAAATTCTAATAGAAAATGTTTCTTCTCATATGTCCCAGCCCTATATTCAATTATAAAAACGCGTTTTTCTTGTTCAAAAACTCTTGCATTCTCACTGTGAGCATGGTCATCTCTCCACAGATCTGACCTGTGACTTAACCTGATGTCTGATGTTTCTATATCTTGCTCTTTTTATAACAGTCAATGTTTTTTTTTTTTTTTTCTATACTTTCTACATTTGATATACATACAGAGCACATAAAGTATATGAAGTAAGATGTATGGAATTATGTAGCCAAGTAAATAGCAGGTCACATAAAACTGAATTATATTGGAAGTATATTGGTTTTGATAAGGAGAAAAGGACCTAGAAAAGAGTCAGTCATGCTGCTGTCCTTGGGCTTGTTTGGGCTCCACTGACCTCCCATCCCTCCCATCATTGGACCTGAGAAAGAAAGGAAGGCAGACAAGAATGGAGACAAGGCTCAATAATGAAACTTATGATAAATCATTTTAAAGCTGTAATAGTTACACACAAATCACCAGATAAAATACTGTAGCTTAAGGTTATAAGGGAGCTAAGAGTTCATATGACCTTTTACAGTTGTTTCTTTTCTTTCACTCTGTCATTGTATCTTTTTAAATATTAAGGAATGAAAGACACACTGGCACCTCTAGCATAATGCTGCTGTGGTCCAATTTAGGTCATATTTAGTTGCATATTTAAAATACGTTTATATTTTGATGAGTGGTTTGACCAGAAGCAAAATGTAAAGGTTAATCTTATTAAAACATACTTTTTACAAATTTTACTCTGATTTATTGATTTTATACACTGATTAACAAAACATTTCACTATTCAAAAAATTTGAATTGTTAACGAATTTGCATTTTGCATTTAACATAAATTGCAATCTAAACATAAACTGCAATGAAGATTGGAAAGACTATAATGCTATAAAGAAGACTACTGCCTTGTTATTGTTCTTTCAAAGTCAAATCTTTTTTTTTTTTATTCCTCACCAGTCAGATAGTCAGAACTGAAGGCAGTCTGTCCTGGAGGGTCTTGGCGCCCCCCTGTGGACATTAAGGAGGACATCATTCCAGGACCTGCAAGAAAGCACAAAATAACACCATAAGAACATATGTAAATACATATTCTATTAAAAATAATCACAGTTTTATATATTTATTACACATGCTAACACACTATAGGCCCACAGTACAAAAACAGCTCATCTTCAACAATTTGACCTTTTTAATCAATGTACTTCAGTAAGTCATCTGTTCAAATCTGTTATGCTCTTGTCTTTCTGGATTGCTCTGTCAATTTGAGAATTTGTATTTCTCAATTGCAGCTGCCTCTCAGTGTCTAAATCTTTTGACAGTAAATCGCCCAGACACAACAAGCTCTGCCAGGCTGTCTCTATGGTAACGGAAAAAGAGGACGACATCATCAACATCATCTGTGTCTCCCAGGGCAACCCAGGCGCCAGCTGATCAGACTTCAGGGATCAGTGGACAAGTGCCAACCAGGCTAAAGTTTATCATCACAAATAAATACAGACATCTGTTATTATTGGTATTGCAAGAGTTGAGTGATACATATTTGGTACCAAACATTATAGTTGAATAGATCCACATCATTAATTCTCTGAGTATAGAGCAATGGGTGGAGATAGGGGTAGGTGAAATAAGAAAAAAAAAAATTAAAAAAATTAAAATAAATTTAAAACATGAATTATACATTAAAATATAGCATAATTTTGTCAGTGGGTGGTTGTGAAACATGCTTCATGCTAAGACTTCTCATGGATTTCTAAATTGCTTCTATAAATATTCAGGTTGGTTTATTTTTAGTACTCTGAGTACATCAGTGTAATAGTGAATGTTATAAATAATTAAAGTCTTGTGCATTTACTGTGAGTTTGAGTCCTGAAACCTCCCAAGGTTACTGGTGTTGTATTCTGAGTCAGACAAAGACAAAGTTAAGCCTTTCTTATATTTCCTATACATTACAACCTAAAGGAGACAAATGTATGCTGTATGCAGAGGCAAAATATTTATGTTGGTTTAGTAACTAATAAAGTGCAAGTGCTTTGAGCACACGAGAGGCAAAAAGCAGAAATAAGCCTAAAGATCTTTTCAGCACTGGTGCCTTTGAATCCCCTTAAACTTTATTCTACCAGTAAGGAAAAACTCACCAAATTATTCAACACCAAGGATATGGCTTTGGGAATTAAAGAAAAATATCTTCTTGCTATCTGTTTGCTATGTATGTTGTTATGTTATTATGTTATTGTAGGATTGTATTTGCTCAACAAAACACTGATATAGACAATGTCTTATGTCAGGGGTGTCAAACTAATTTTGTTCCGGGGGCCGTATCCAACCGACTTTGATCCCAAAGGGGCCAGATCAGAAAACTCATGTCATATAAACCCCAAAAATAACAATAAGTTCAAATATTTGTGCAGAGAAACGCAAATCTATTACAGAAATCTTTTTTAATTGATGAACTCTTTCTTATTATAATATTATAATATTATGAACAACCTGAAACTTGAAGAAAAATTCAATTTCAACACAATGTTTTAACAATAATTTGTATGCCAACAGGAATAAGTCAATTTCTGTTGTAAAATCCTGCACTCGGCTCCACTTTTCTCATGTTGGACATTTTTCTGATGAGGGTGTCACGGTCAACAGTCAAAACGATCGTCCTTTAAGAGCGTTTGGAAAGAGACAAGTCTTCATTTGTGCTGCTCTGGTGGGAGGGGCCACGTACAGAGACGCTGGAGACGCTGCTGTGATAAACACCACAGAAAATTAACACGATTTTAATAGAAAATATCATTACAATATTTAAGTAGAAAATCACCCAAGGGCCACATTAAAGGTCTTGGAGGGCCGGATCTGGCCCCCGGGCCTTATGTTTGACACCTGTGTCTTATGTGAAGACGCTTCCAGCATGACAGCTAATTGCCAATTGTACAGTAGTTCATGGGCTAGTTGTTTCACAAATTGAGAAAAATATTTTGTAAGTGAATCAATAGTCGTGTAATGTCACATTGATTAACCAGGGCTAATCTAAAATCTTAAAAAAAAAAAAACATTGCAATTTTGTTATTTTACAATGGATGAAGAAGTTCAAAGTTGTCAAAATACACAAAACATTCACACTTGTATTGGGGTAATAAAAGACACATGGTCATCTTTTGAGTTATTTGTAAAATAAACAAACTAACATAACATACATAATGTAACATACTACAAAGGTTAAAGTGCATCTTGTGAGAGTCCCTTAAGTGCATTTGTAGTGGACACCAGAAAGAAGAAAAAGAACAACAAACCACACAAACAACGCCGTCTCCACATGACGCCCGGCAGCTGCTTGACTGACCTGCATCCACTATTTATAGATCAATGTCTCATGCCAAGCTCAATGTCAAGATCTACTCCCAGACACATCATATAGACTCACCATAAAGACAACAGTGTACAATCAAGTCCATTGGATCTTTCAAACAGCATTAATTTTAGAAGATGGCATACTTTGACTAGGTTAATTTCTTTCATTACAGTTACGTTATTAGAATTCCATACATAGAATACATAGATTTATCTACCGTGTATGTCTTGAGCTCCATAGTAAAATACAAAGTAGAAGTAAAATTGGTTGCTTAGGTAAACTATCTGTAAACTGTGACAAAAAGTACATTGTTCTAGTTTAATTTCGCTCTTTACACATGAAAATAAAGTTAACTAAGCAAGTAGTAATATAATTTATTTACAGAGGAGAACAATACATGAAATACGTACATTATTAAAGACAATTGCTCGTATTTTCCAGGGGTGTGAGCACAGTACAAAAGATTCTCTATCTACTGTCACTCAAACACTGTGATTCCCCTGGGAGATAAACTGTTTTCTGAAGGATATTACAGATAAGCTAATGCTACCGTTTTGTGTCAAGGTTACAGTAACATTGTTGGTGAGCCGAACCCAAAGCATGTCTCTAATGCAGTTAGTCCTGTGATGTAATAATGGAGCTGCAGTGAATTGATTGTAATGTTTCAGTTAAAGGGCATACTAATCATTACATTCAAGAATATGAGAATCTTTAAAACTGCTTTAAACAAGTTGTTTTCAGTCATGTGCCCTTTGTAGTGGGCAATAATATATCTATACTTTACATTTTGTGGTGATTGAAGTAAAGCACTAATGATGAATTAACCAAATAATCAGTTAAGTTAAAAAGTTAAGTTTATTTTATTTTTAATTAGCTCTTTCTTGTGTTTTTTATATTAAAGATTACACACATGCTATTTCTGCATAGTTCCAAAACAATCATTGCCATATTGTCCATTTTTCACCCACCTTCCTCCCACCTCTGAAACATTTGTATTTCTAAAGTAATTTCATCTTTGCCTTTTCCCATCAACTGAGTGACACTAAAGGACACACATATAAAACCGCCACATCATCACTTCTGCTTGTGTAGACTCTAACCAGGCCCTAAACCCAGACACTGTAGTTCAGATGTGGCAGCGTCATCACATCAGTCTGGGAGCTTTACTTCAGAAGTGCTCCTCTTGCATCATACTCCTCTTTCACACATCTGCCTCCCCAGCACACACAACACAAAGTAACCGACTGAGTTATACGCCCTGACAGTGAAGGTGCGTGGGACCACTGCAGTCACATGTCACTGCGGAGTCCTGGAGCCTGCTCACTCTCAGAGGCCCTTGCGCCACCAGGCTTAATACACCACCTGAATATCCTATCTGTGTGTGTGTGTATATGGGTATGTGCTCTCGTTTATCATTATCAGCGAGGAATACAGTAAGGGAAGTAGCACTGCAGGGAGGAGGGAGCAGCAAATGCAATTGGGGTTCTAAAAATACCAACAGAACAAAAGTAGACAAATGTGTGAATTCCCGATTATATCCATTGATTGATGTTGTCAATTTTAGTCTTCTGGGGGAGTGTCTCCATAAAGATGTTATCAGTGTTGGGAGTAATGCATTATAAAACAAATTACTGTAATGCATTGCTTTTTGTTGTAACGCAGTTACAGTTTTTCTTCATACAAATTTGCTAAAATCACTGCAAGATCAGCAGTGGTGAAACGCCATCGTTATGGTTCCAAATGTTGGGACAAGCCAGAAGGACCAGTGCAGAACTCCACGCCCCATGGGGCTAATCGCAGCTGACATCCGATCGCGCTTTGCGGACACCCTGCTCTCTCATGGGCAGTCCTAGATTCCAAGTCCTAGTCCAAGATTAGTCCTGGTTTAGACCTGGTTTAGACCTAGTTTAGACCTGGTTTAGACCCAGTTTAGTCTTGATTCAGTTCTGGTTTAGACCTGGTTTAGTCCTGGTTTAGTTCTAGTTCAGTTCTGGCTTAGACCTGGTTTAAGCCTGGTTTAGTTCTGGTTTAGTCCTGGTTCAGGCCTGGTTTAGACCTGGTTCAGTTCTGGTTTAGTCCTGGTTTAGTCCTGGTTCAGTTCGGGTTTAGACCTAGTTTAGTCCTGGTTCAGTTCTCGGTTCAGTCCTGGTTTAGTCCTGCTTCAGTCCATATACGGCACAAAGTTCGGCATCTTCACACAGTTATTTTGGTGAGAGTAAATTAAAAGTAATGCAATAGTCGTGCAATACCTTACATTTTAAATGTAGTAATACTGTAAGGTAATGTATTATTTTGAAATGACAGTAACAAGTAATAAATAACATATTATAGAATTGAAGTAACTTGCCCAACAGTGGATGTTATTGCTTTGTCTAGAATGTCCCACAATATGACATTAACTTATCCATGGAGACAAGCAAGTGGCACAGTGCACTGTCAAATAAATTTTAGTTCAAAATGCAGTTTATATTTAAGGTTAAGGTACAATTTGACCTATACGTCCATACCGCTGAGTCAACCTGTCAGGAGCAGTGGATGAGTGCAGTGTAACCCTAGAAACCCTTCTGCAGGTCTTGATCTTCTACAGGTTCACGGACAGGACTACATAGCTGCAAAGTTGACCTTTTGACCTATAGTGTAAGATGTAGGTTGATGGTGATCAAAAGCAGAGCCAGAGAAAACCATAGGCACAACATGCAAATTCTAGGTAAAAACTTGCTTACTTACTTAGTATTTTATCTTAATCCATGTGACAGTATAAATTCCAGATATGCAGACATAAACAATACATGCTGAAAATGTGGCTATATATAACAGCATGCCTTACAATGACAGCAGGACTTACAACATAATTTCAAAATGTCAAAATGTCACTGGGACTGTGGATGCTTTGTTCATAATTTTTACCTATTGTCACTCTCAACACACCAAATTATTGCTTATTGCATCCTTTCCCAAAATACAAAAGCAATTTTAATGTATAAACATAAACATTAACTGAATAACATTTTAGTGATTTTCTCTCCAAAATAGGTACCTCTGTTGCCCTCTATAGTTTATATCAATTAATTATCAGTGATGTAATGGTACATATATTCGCGCCGACCTGTTTCGGTACGGAAAGTTCGGTTCGGTGCAGGGCTGTGCACGAGTGTTTACATTCCGCCACAACATGTGCAGCTACATGGAAGGCTTGGCTCTTTAATATTCACAAGGGATCTTCTCCGTGATTGGGATGGCAGTGTTTCCCGAAGTGCTTTATAGTTAGGGCAGCCACACTGACAACAATTGCCCCCCGCCTTGACTACGCCCCATCCGAACCACTTGAATCCTCACAAAACTACGGTTGTCTCGCCCCGGTCCTCACTCTCGCCTTTCACCAGCACAGAATCTCCGCTTCCCTCCCCATACACGCAACCTCTGTCCTTAGTGAAAAGGTACTTTCAACCACTGGGGACATTGTAACTGCAGCAGATCTGCACTTACTGCAGACAATGTCAAAAGTTGTTTTTTCTGGCCAAAAATATGAAGATTGAGTAAAATTTCATGCTGGAACTGTTAGTGCTGCACTTTACATTTTGAAAAGTTTTGTTTACTGTTTACAAGGAATTTATTTTTTTATAATATTTCATACATTTGTTGCTTATTTGAGAATATTTTATTTAACTTATTAGTATTACCAAGCAGCACTTTGCATTTATTTTATTTTCCCATTTCTATAATGTTAAAACAAATAGTTGGTTTAATAAACATACAAATAAACAAATGGTTTTGCATTTTGTTCCCATACTGTACCAAAAATTAACCGAATTGTGACCTCAAAACCAAAGCATGTACCAATCCGTAATTTTTGTGTACCCTATCAAATAGCCCTATCAAATATTCATTCATGACACTTTAGGATATTCAAGACAGCACCCACATGCCTAACATTTTTAAAATTTAAATTCACGTGCTTTCTGATATGTAAATGAGAAAAAGCCCCATGGTAAAACATCTGCTCTACAGTATCACGCACACCTCCCATATGGCCAATAGAAAATACAGCCAAGAGCCCTGTATCCACCATCACTGTCTAATATCTTACTGCATAGTCTCAAGTCACAGCTCTGTTTGTGGATCATAGCTGTATCATGTGTGGGGGACCTGTCAGACTCTATGAGATGACAGTATGCAAGGAGAATGAGTATTTAGCCATGAGTAGATAGTGAGGGACATATCAAACCAATCATCAGCTTTCAGGATAGAGTGTCTGTCACTGCTTATGAGAAGGACTTGCAATGTACATTACTGAACTGCTATTATATGTTTTTGACTTTGTTTTGTTGTTGTAACGTGAAATTAAGATATTGTGTGCTTTGTTTTTTCTTATGTATATTACATATAAATATAATAATATATGGTAATATACATCTTCAATCTTAATTTAATGAACATAAACAAGTTGTTTCAATGAAAATGTAATTAACGCTCCAAGTTTTAAGCATAAATTCTCTAAGCCTCTAATAAGCAGCTCACTGAACACTGTATCCTTCTTATGATTTAAATTCCCCCTAGTCCTGGATACTTTCGTGCCACACAATGGGGCAGGTTAACATGCAACTCCCAGCACAGAGTTCTGCTACGAGCTAAATCTGTACAGAGCAGTATGAAGGCCACCTCAGCAGTGTCTCAGCTGACATCGCATTACACTGATGAAGGGCAGTGAACAGCAAGAATATATGACAGGGCATTTTGTGTCTAATGCTTTAGTGGTTAATACATCTGCCAAGTTATTACTAGATTCATTCACTTTTCAAAAGATATTTAGAAAAACAATACTCCAGTCACTCATCATATAGTGTGTCATTCACTGTTTCAAAAAGAAAGGAAAAGCGGTATAAAACAATCTATAAGTACTCTGACAACCTGTAAACGTACCAGTCCTGCCATTATTCAGGAGGGAAAAGCAAAGTAAGTACTTGTTTGTTACTTGGGGACACATGTTGAATGCATAGTGTTTGGACTCACCACACTTTGGGTCCTTCCCGTCAAGCAGGGGTCTGTAGTCACTTTTGGCCACACTCTCTCCCACCTTGTCGTCATAGGGCTCTTTCTCCAGAGTGGACATGAAGTCTCTCTTCAGCAGGGCCTCAGCGGGAGCCCCCCCGGGGACCCCCCCTCCACCTCCTCCCAGAGCATCTCGCAGGCTCAGGTCCATAACTCTTTATCTGTGCAAGAAAAAAAAATACATAAGTTATAGGAATAAAATCAAAGTAATTACATTTTTTACAGCCCCTGGAGGGTCAGGTTTTAGATATATTGACTTTCACTGTGAGGAAATGACATTGGGAATATCGTAATATAAGAAACAGGACCTTAGGAATGTCTATAATGTTAACATCCCAAAACTGATTACATAGCTCTGTTCTTAATTATATTGTTAGTGCAAAGTTAGTTTATGATTCTGACCAACACATTGCATGTAAACAAAGAGCAGCAACAAAAAACAAAAACAAGCAATATTTCAGGTACTTGAATCTTGAATTTAGCAATTCAAGGAAGGACAAGGCACCATTTTCAATTGAGGTTTAATGTTTTAAATTGCGTTTTTAATATGTACATTACATATTGGGTATGAGAATTTTCCTTTTTTCCTTCACACACACACACACACACACACACACACTGTAGTAACTTTGAACCCACTCAACTGTGATCCAAGCTCAACCATAGAGCTACTGTCCCGACATTTTGACAGTGTGACCCCTGCACAAACTCTTCTTCTCTGGCCCTTTCTTTGTGTTTCTGTTTACGCCATCTCCCCTGCTCCCAGTGAACAGGCTGCCATTGTCTCACAACTCGCCCAAGTACACACAAACACACACAACTGCAGTACATGGAGGGGAGCCAGAGCCTGGATGTACAGTAAGGAGTTAGTGAAACTGTAGAGCATTGTATTCAAAAAGATAGGACTGCACTTAGCATTGTACTCAGCAATTTTTCTAATGCAGTACCTAAAACAGAGCTTCCTGATCCCCATTTAATTATTCATAAATCTGCTGTTTATCACTCCATTAGATAAGTTTCATAAGGTGTTATTATAATCAGTGTTCACAGTGTTCCCCTCTTAATAGACAAAGACTAGAACAATTCGTTGTTCAATATTCAATGTTTAGACTTTGACAAATTGTGGACTAAAAGGCTGACTAACACTTCTTAACATAAAGAAAATGTAGAAACCTCATCTTCAAGCAGCATGGATCTGGGTCTGCTAAAAATATTATGTAATCCCTATTTGTGATTGCAAGTACAAAAAGTCAATGAGTTCACGTGGCAATTGAAAATAATGGAAATATTGAAAAGAAATGTTATTCTTTTAGTAATAATTAGTTTATTGGTAATGAAAATAGGGTCATATTTAAAGGTATACTATAACTTTGATGGGGTCCTCCACCTGCTTGTCTCCATGGAGACAGTATTTCCATATGGGATTGCATTTATCCATCTCCATAGAGACAAATTACAGATCAGAGCAGCAAACATAACCCCACTAGTATGTTTTTCAAGGTGTTTGTTTTTAGTCAATACACAAAACACAATAACTTATTTTGCTTCTATTGGATAGATGCAAGATGAGTTTAATAGCGCACTGTGTAACATTCCAGGTAAAGCAAGATAATTTCCAAGCAGGCAGGTGGCAGCTACAGGAAAAGTTACACCTTTAAAGATGTAATCTATAGTCTAACACAATACATGACATTATTATATACTGTATACGTTATCATTTCCGAACTGATGACGCGTTTGCTGGGTGAGACAGCTGTTGCACTCCTAAGGATTAACAGCCTGTCTACCCACAATCCTTTGCTCCTCCTCTACATGAACTCAATGAACCTAGGACATAACATATAGGGTTAGCTTGGTTTAGATTTGTTTTCTAATACACCAACAACAACACAAACATGACCAAACTTTCAACTCTGCCCGCAGTGAACCCAGTAGCAACAAACTGTCACATTCGAGGAGAGCGGAGGCAGGGCCTATATTTAGCACAGTCACAGCAAGATGCTGTACAGCAATCAAACAATAAATAATGGTAAGTGATAAATATGTGATAATAAGATATAAATTACCCTGAAAACTGGAACAATAACTAATATCTGCAAATTTCTATTCAAGATATGGTAAGACAATAAAACAGAAAAATATATATCTCCATTGCAGTAGCACTGGCGAGTAGTAGAAAATAATTATTAGTTTATTCTTATTATGCATTGTTCATGTTAGAGATCGAATAAGATCTCATGGTACATGATCTCACAAGACAAAATTACAAAAAGATTGTGCACCCATAAGAAAAATTATCTCATGAGAATTTATTCCTATGTGTGTACAACTGGGGTCAAGTCCTAGGTAGTTACATGCAAAATATTAACTTAAGTAAATGGTGAAGCCAAAATTGAACTGCACAGTTAATATTTTTGAACTAATCTAAGTTAAAATTCACTAGATGAAAACTGAAAACTCAATCATAAAATGTGTCTGATTTGGCCAAGATTTTGTATCTCTGTTAGTTTAAGCTGTAACCCAAACCATGACTCAGCCCGTCCCAGCAGACAGCTGTTTGCCCCCCTACACTCACTATAATCTAATCAAATCGAAGTTACTCTGCCGCCCTTGGTCAGCCAGGCCTATGACTCACCAGAGGATCTGAGCATGTCCCGATGATGTAACACAGTCCTGATGAATGAAGAGGTCTATCGCCACAGGAACCACACTTTCACTGTTGTTGGCTCAAAAACAGCATCTTAGGTCAGTTTCAGTGTTATGGTAATAACAGTGAATGTGCAGAATTAAAGTTACTGGAGATTGCTATGTGTTTAGGAGAAGGGGTAATAAAGCCAAAACTCGGAGGTTAAAATAGGTTAGGAATCAAATAGACAGGGTTGCAATTAACACATTATATAGACTATAATTATTTGAATCCATAAGCCACTCCTCTGCAAACAACCAAACTATCAAAATACTTGATAGTTATATGTCCTAAAACATAATCTGATTCTTGTAGTTTAGCAGTTCATATTTCACTCAAACTCACTCAACTTTGATTTTATGAATGGGTCATTTTAAAACATATAGTCTTAACTACTAACAATAAACTTGCCTGGCTATTTTTTATGTTCACAGAAATGTATTATAAGATCATAACCAGAAAGACATGCTTAAAAACAGATCTGGTGGTGAAGAAAGCTGTGTAGTATTTTTATGTGGAGTGTAGGACTACATTTAGCTACACCTTCTGCAGCTGTGCTCCACTTGATGTGCTGATGTGTCTGCTTTAAAACTGCTTTACTCATGAACTAAACTAGGCGCAATACTGCTTATTTACAAGATCCTACAAACAAAACAAAGATAGAAAAATACAGTGTGCATTTCAAATAAGTAATGGCTGATTTCTTCAACTGAAACACAAACAAACTTGATTGATCTATGAGGGAAATATGGCCATGATCAGTAAACCAATAAAAATAATCAAACTGAGTATATCTGGTTTTCTGAGTACCACCAGAAGTAGTTCTAAACAAGGACTAACCCAAAAAGCACAAAAATGTGGATACAACTTACTCCAAATAATAAAAGGTCAAGGTCAAGATCAACTTATTTATATACCATGTTTACAACAACTTAAAACAACCAAAGCCTTGTTCAGTACAAAAAAGAAAGTGTTAAATATGATTAAAATAATTAAAAGATAGGGCAAATTATATAACAAAAACAAGAAAGTGTATAATATAATATAAGTCATTCATATGTAAAAGTGAGAATGAAGTACAATATGAATGAATGAGCTACATATTTATTACATAAAGGTGTCATCATGCAGTACCAAAACCAGCTCAACTGTCATGGCCGCCAAGCCCGTCGTCTCCATGGTGACTCAGCAGCTCCTGTCTCACTTGCTCCACATGAGGCGTGCTGCTGTAGCCCTGTGTACGTGCGACTTTGATGAAAGAGTTCAGATTACTGCTGACAACACTGTCCACCTCCGAGCTTGGACACACGAAAAATATGCACGCACCATTCAACCATACTATACTAAGAGCTAACTCCAAGATTTTAGTCTACAACAAAATATTTCTATATCTGAATCTTCCAAATATATCTACTCTCCATCAGCTCAACGAAAACAACCACATTTGACCTTCCTGTGGGTATCCTGTTTCACAAAAACAGCATTTTTCAAGTCAATATCCGCTATCCCTCATCAATACAGGGAGTAAACGAAGCTTAATGCCTTACTATGGAACATTCCAGGAAACTTAATAGCATCTGCATACATACAAGTACTCTGCGTTGTCATTCACATTAGAAAAGTTCACTTTATTATTATGATTTATTGTCATTAAAGTATGGCTACTACAAACAGAAATCCAACAAACATTTTTTAAACTATTTGGTTCATACTAAAAAAAAAAAAAAAAAAAAGAAAAAAAAATCTAGAGTATGCGCTTGACAACTGAGCCACCAAAGTGACAAAAAGAAAGTTATCTAACCAGTTAACCAGTGATAATAATAATTTGTAGGTAATAATTATGGGATCAGCACCCTTTTCTGATGGCATGATATGAAACAAAAATAACTCCCAGTAATTACCTCACCAGTATAAAGCCTAGCAGAGGCAGTAATGGAGTGGGAGGAGTTGAACAAGTACAAATGCAACAGTTAATGGCTGTATCTGTCTCATGTAAAGGCTAAGGTGATCCTTCAACAATGAACACTTTGTTTCCTTGCTTGCTGAATGGAAACAACCAAGTTACAAATATGCAGTTTGGATGTAGCAAACCAAAATTACATTAAGTTAGAGTAGTTAATCAGAAATAATAACATTTACTTCAGGATACAGTTATTTTCATTTGTTTTATTTCACTAATGACAAAGGCTAATGCATACTAGATATACAGCAACACACAATGTAGTGTATTGCTCCCATCAGATTTAATATGATGAGATTTATACATCAAACACTGCCCAGAGAAGCCAATGATTCAACATGGCATAAAAGCTCCTAAGCTGTCGTTTAAAATTATTCAAAAGGGATGGACAATATTCAAATAACGTGTTCATACATACTGTATGTCAGATATTCAAAAGTTCACATATATTTACCACTGAAAGTTTTGTTTGTCTTTTATTTGTGTTCATTTCTTGTTTGTATTA